ACTCACACCAACCCCACACACTCCCACACACTCACACACACCCCACCACACTCACGCACCCCAAACACACCCCACACACTCACACACACCACACACTCACACAACCCACACACACACACCCCACACACTCACACACCACACACACTCACACATCCCACACACTACGTTACACACTAACACACCCCACACACTCACACACACCCCACACACTCACACACCCCACACACTCAGACACCCCACACACTCACACAACCCAGCCCCCACACACTCACACATCCCACACTCACGCACACCCCACACACTCACACACCCCACACCCCACCCACTCACGCACCCCACACACTCACACACTCCCACACACTCACACACCCCACACACTCACGCACCCCACACACCTACCCACACCCCACACACTCACACACCCCACACACTTACACACACCCCACACACTCACGCACCCCACACACTCACACACCTTACTATTTAAAACCCCCCGGTGTATGGCTTCATCAGAATCCTCGACATAGGTCCGTGCGTGCGTGAGGTTGCTAGGATGGCGACACGAGAGCGAGAAGGGGACGTGTAAAGGGATGAGGAGGAGGCAGAAGAGGTGGTCACGGAGACGGAGATACGAATGATCGGTCACGGGTGTGTGAAGGGATGAGGAGGAGGCAGAGGAGACGGAGATACGAATGATCAGTGACGAGTGTGTGAAGAGATGAGGAAGAGGCAGAGTGGATGGCAATACGCAGCAAATATGAAGCCATGGTGCTGACCCGACTATTACGTACAGACAGCGCATTGTTTTCCCACAGCAATAATCCGGCGTTGGTGCGCTACAGGCATCTGCAGAGCGCGTTGCTTCCTTCAATTCGTCTCTTCTACAGCTGACTGGCGTGAAAAAATGGGTTATATACCCAAAAGAAAAGATTTGCTGAACCACATGAGGCGACATACCACCCTTTGGAAAACGTATACGCGCACAACTTGCACGAGTTATTTTACTTACACGTGATGCTGTTTAGCCAATATATAGAAAAAACTACCACACGACCGAACAGCATACCAATTAGTAGTTATCACCGCAATGAGGAAGCGATAGAGAGAAAGAACACAGCCTTGCATTAGCAAATAAATGGGAATTCAGTGTTTCATCACGGTAAAAACCCCAGTAAGTGCAGATGTTCAGAATTCTGGTAAAATGCTGAACAGTGCTTCGGCAGTTGGGCAAAAATATCCCAGCCACTGCATCAGGCACCATCCTGTCTTATACGGGAGCCAGCCATTAATTTCGCATGCATGTGTTGGCTGTGACCTTTAAATTTTCTTACATTGAACCTCCCGGGTGCCTGGAGTCTTTTTTCGCCTCACGCCGGCCCGCAGACTGCATTATATAGCTGGTGAGATGTTCCAAGGCATGCATGCGGGTAGATGTCAGTGGCTACGCACCCCCAGCGGATATCAGAACGAAATCAACAATAGATTTAGAACACCTGTTCCACCAGCAGTGACTATAATGCAGATGCAACTCCCCTTCGTCACCGTGGCCCCACATCTCAACATGGTAGGAGCTCTACGCTTGCTGGGCTCCTAACCAGGCACACATGTACGCAAGAACCGCCCGCAGACTAGGCCGCAGCCTCTGCATAAGACTAAACACAGCGCAAATATCCTAGACATAATTCTTCAGGCTAGAGACTTAAGTCAATAAATTACATGTGATCGAAGAAAAACAGGAACTATCACATGTGTGCAGGCAGGTAAACTGTTCCCTCCCCCTCTGCCCCACCAGCCACACACACCCATCACGGTGGCTGTACGCGAATAACTCAGCGCCCTCTGCTGTCTGTCCTTTGTGCCACGTGCAGACAGACTTTAGAGTCTGTAAATCACGTGCGCAGTAGAATATGCTGGCGTCGTTTCACCGCCTCTAGGTTGACTTAACTGCAAGCCCGTTGCACAAATCACATCGCCACCTTAATGCATTAATATCACAATTAATTTGTGGGCGCGACAACTCTATCCAAATTCCAATGACTATCGTAATCGGCAGCACTCACTATGTACGTACAATCCCGCGATCAAGCGATCGCCGCAGGAATCACAGGAGTAGTTGCCACACCGACGACAAACAAATCCCATGATGCACCACTCCCATGATGTAGCAGCATGGGGAGACGACAAGCAAGTCTCACGCCGCAGCCACCAGGGGTCGCCAGCAGTGGCTCACCCGCGCAGAGATGCCAGACAACGGCCATGCCGCGGCCACCAGGGGTCGCCAGCTGCAGCTTACGCGCGCAGATGCCAGAGGACTCCCACGCTGCAACCACCAGGGGTCGCCAGTGACGGCTTTTGCGCGCAGATGCCAGACGACGGCCACGCTGCAGCCACCAGGGGTCGCCAGCGGCGGCTTACGTGCAGGGGTGTTACTCACCAGGCCGTGGCACAGGCTGACTGCGGCCGCTGAATCCTCCTGCTCATCCACGACTCCTCGGTAGAAGCAGTGTGCGAGGTTGCCCTCCGGCAGGCCCTCGGGCCGAAAGATCCACGTCACATTGTCAATGATCTGCTCAACGACGAAATTCGGTGAGAGAAAATCACTGTACGCGGTCAGGTGTAGCGTGAACTCCTTGCCGAATGCCTTGATGCGGTACAAGGTGCTATCGTCACCACCGCCCTTCCACCTATCTGCCTCCTCGATGGCCCGCCGCCTCCTGTAGTGCGGCTCGCTGTCCGCACGCGGCATGCCGGACGCGTCAAGTCTCGTCGGCACGGTGATATCATAGTCTTCATCACTAATGTCTCTGAAACCTGCAAAGTTTGCGATTCTTCGTTAGTTCTCGTCAGTTTCAGTCTCCCCCTCCCCCACCCCAAGTCTGGTTTTTCCCCGGCGAAGGTTTGAGGGGGGGAGAGACAAGAGAGCGAATGGGCAGGATGCGTCTGCCGTGCTCGTCCATGCCTAAGCAAGCGACTGTTGCTATATATATATAAAAATATATTTATCTATTGGAAGAAAAACAACAGGATGGCGTGTGTGTGGCGGGAGCAAGTGTGTAAGCCTGTATGTACTGTCTTTTGATGATAAAATTCCGTCAATCTAATCGACCGCCGATGGCAACGATAACTATTGACATTTCTGACACACCAAAGGTGCGATTTCTGGTGAGATTTGAAATGGGTAAACGCGCTGCTATTAAATCCGGCTGCTGCAGCAACCATCAAGTACACCTTACAGCAAGATCGCTCCCTCACAAGCTCTGCATGCGTCCGGTGCAGCACTTAGCGTGTAACCTAACCGACGCATAAACTCTGCGATTCTCAGCAAGCTGGATACCCGTGAAACGGGGCGGGAGTGACTCGTAGCAGTGTGGCTCCGGGGGTTCATGACCGTGTGTCTCCGCACGCCATCCTCAGTGCAGCCGGATAGCGAAAAGATGAAGCGAGACATTTCACAGACGTTAGCTTGACCGATCGGGGTCATAGCTTAATTTTGCTCAATCCTAGTTTGGGACCCCGGCCCTCATTTTCGCAAATGTGCTAAACTAAGCTGGGTGCTGAACTAGGATTGGGCTATTAATTTACTCTATTATCATTTTCTCTGAGGACTGACCATGCGTTGAACTCGAAACAGCCAAAGTGCAGAGCAGAACACAGAGAGCCTAGGGGTACGAGACTCCAACAGTGTTCAGTGATACACCACTGGCCGGTCACGGTCGGTGTAAACAATGAAGTTGCATTGTCCCACGCTACACGTGATATAACTTTGGTATAGGCTACCGATCAATTCGGCTAAACATGAGAAACTTGTGCCTGATGCGAAATGTGGTCACGTTCGGAATGGATTCAATGAAATTTAAGAGCATACCGTATAGCGCCCACGCTGATACGAGTCGCATATAGATGGCCACTGTTAGTTAACTACGCGCTCTATATACGTATAGATGTCTATACACTATAGATGTCTACACACAAGTCAACACATGCACCCGATCTTACCTTGATGGTGGTTTCGCATTTGTGCAGAAAACGCTGGTCGAACACACCCGAGCAAATATAGCACATTGAACAAAACCGCAGCAAAAAACGCCACGAGGAATACACCGTTCATATTCGCAGCTTGCCATACACACTACGTGTAAGCGCTAGCACGTACGTGTGTGTACGTGGTGTATATACGATGTACGCGTGCTAGCTGAGTCCGTAGCGCTGCGGCCTTCCTCAGCTCCTGCGTTCGATCTTCCACAGCGAAGCGCGTATGTACTAATGCAGTTGAGCATATCAGCACCATATCTCCCGCGTTCGCCGCCGTCAGAGTCATCTGGTGGTCAACTAGTATATTATTTCTATGGGCGATCACAAGTAAAGCATCAGTTTATGCTTTACAAGTAAAGCATGTAAGCATGCTTCACAAGTAAAGCAGCAGTTTTATGACTTACCGAGAAATAAGACAACGAAAGCGAGAAGCTGCATGGTGCTTATATAGCTCCGCTCACGTTACTTTGAAACGAAAAAATCTATGCCACGAAATCAACAACGGGTTCGGGTCGGTGCTTCTTTACAGTTTTCACCTCTTTGTCTGTTCGGCTCTTTCCGAATAATCTGATTAGGACGAGAAAAACAAGAGAAGAGTGGCTAACCCGTGATGGTGACACGTGGTGGTGATGCAACCCCCGGTGGCGATCACAAACATCAATCCTAGCATCGCGTGTCGAAAACAAAGGAATTGCGAGGTTTTCGCCGGGAACATCCAGGAGGGCATTCGTCACTATATAGAATGCTGGCGAAACTACCTCGTGGTGAGAGCAATGCTACAATTAATGTGTGCTGGGGGTGTGCATTCTGTGAGAACTACGGCGACGCTAAAAACATTGCAGTGCGAGTCTGGTGCAGAGGAGGTCTGGGGTGGAAGGTGTTAGACACCCCCCTCCCCCAACACACACGTGCACACACACACACACACACACACACACACACACACACACACACACACACACACATACATGCCTACACACGCGCGCACACACAAACAAACAAACAAACAGACACGCACACGCGCGCGCACGCACGCACGCACGCACGCACGCACCCCCACACATACACACATACACACACATACGTACACACGCGCGCACACACACACAAACAAACAAACAAACAGACACACACACTCGCGCGCGCGCACGCACACACACACACACACGCACACATACACACACACACACACACACACACACACACACACACACACACACAC